GTGCAACTCATTTTATTGGAGAAATGACAGTCGTGAATCGTTCAAGCATATTTTCATACATTACGAATATAAGTAATGTTGTCAGATTTATGATTACACCTCAAGGAACACATTATTAGTCTGATTGCAAAACTATGGGTGAATTTTTGTGGTGCTGCCATGAGTTCCCTTTTAAGTGTAACACTGAAAGGTTTTTATTTTCAACTGTGGCTGGAGAAGGATCTATTTGCAAGATTCAAAATAGGACATCTCTTTGATTTTTTCCCTTCAGAGGTCTCTAAAACACCGAGCGCCCATAAGTCGCGACAGCAAGATCCATTACAAGCTGAGAGGACATGTCATAAGAGGGCTGGGACCAATTGAAGCCCTCACACAACATCAAGGTGAGCAGCGGTTGCGATCACTTACTGCACTGTTGTGTAAGATTTGTCCAATTCTGAGAAAATTCTCTAGGGATTCATTGCAATTTTTTTTTACTCCTGTTTGTGTAGTAGTTACTGAAAGAGATGAGAAAAGGGTCACCACTTTGCGGACGATCTCGTCAGAACCGAGCCACATCACAGAAGAAAATGAAGGAAGCGAGGTGGGAAAAAAAGAGCATTAGTACAGAAAAACATGCCCCCTGCGGTTCGAGCCCCAGACCTCCCCCGAGTAACCCTGGCCGAGCTAAGTTTTCACTTATTTCTTTGAAAAAATTCAACCAACCGCTTACATGAAATGGCGAACTCGTCTTGGGAGAGAGAGGGAGAGAGGGGGGGTTTGGGAGACGAACTGGGTGATGCAGCTCGTCAGAATGAGTTGTATTGCCTCGGCAGATAGGATAACCCTATAAGGTAGGACACCTTTTTTTCATATAAACTCTTTGGCTCTCCTACCCAAGACGAGGAGGCTGAAACTGTGTTTGGAGCCCGCGTGTTTTAGTTCAGCGGAGAGACTAGTGGCGGGAAAGGTATCACAACTGGTAACCTCATATAACTCTCCGTAAAGTTGTCTCGAGGGGGGGAAGGGGCCTGTCTCGAGGGGGAGGGTTGTCCCTGGTACTCAAGACCAAATGAATAGGGTCTAAATCGTCAGTTTAAATTTCTAGCTCTCAGATACTTAATAAATTTCTTTGTTTCTCTTACAGGTGGACAACAATCAAACAATTGTCAAACTCCTTGAGGCCGGAGAAACGGTACAATATAGTGATAGTATTTTGGATCAACGTCAGGATCTGAGCCACTGCGCACCTACTCCTCCCATAACCCAGCAGTAGTTAACTGATGAAAGGTCAGGGATAATGTTGTGTTAGGGGATGGGTAGGTGCGCAGTTTCCCAGATACTGACATGGATCCGGTTTTTTTTTTGTTTTGTTTTGTTTTTTTGTTTTTTTGTACTGAACGTTAGTATAATTGTATTGTTTCGAAAAGTTTCTTCCAGGTCCCGGTTGTTCGAAGATCGGATAACGCTATCCACTGGATAAACCTCTATCTGGTGGATAACGCTATACGTTTTGCCATCACTTATCTGCTAGATAGCGATTTATCCGTTGGATAGCGTTATCCGGCCTTATACAACTGGGCCCAGGTGGATAACTTTGTCAATCCTTTGAAGACTTGGCTTCAGAACGAAACTGGAATTATATCGCAATTTCTCTCATTTCCAGAGATCCATGACAACTTCTGTGGTGGTCATTTCTTTAAACAACCATCAAGCTATTCAGAATTTTAGTTCGCTTTTGCTACAATTACTTAATGGATCTTTTTTTTTTACAATGCGTCAGATTACCTCCATGTTCCGATGTGCTACGATCCAGGGCATGGACACTGCAGAAGGACTGTTCCTATTTGGAAAAGAACATTTCTATGTAGTAGACGGTGTGACGTTACTATCCACTAAAGAGATCAAGGATATTGACTCACTACCACAAGGGTAAGCCGGTAAAATGGTTATAAGAATGACTTCGCACTGTGTTCTGATATCCGTTTTATTCCACAAGTCAATGGGTTTCCAGCTGGTTATGGGTGTAGATCAAAGAAAAATTCTGCAATGTTTCAAAGCTGGGATAGGAATGCTCTTCAGAGTCTGTAATTTAAAGATGTTAAAAGTATTCTAAAAAGAGGCTTTAAGTCTACGATTACGTAGAAAACTACCGGAATGTTATTTGAGGTATTTACTTGTTCTGACTTAGGTGCCGCGGAAGGGGAACGAGTGACGAATATATTTTGGAAGAGATTTGTGTGTTCTTTCCAACTTCATTTAACTTTTGATAATTACTTTTGATAATTACTTTTGATGATTACTTTTGATGAAGTCGTCCTAAAACAAAGTTAATCTACCCACCAGCTTGCCATGAGATTGACGTTTTCAACCACATAATTATGTACGAATCACTAACATGTCCGTCGGTATTTTAGGACACACGATCCCATCATTCCAAACTCCTCTCATGACAAGCATCGATCGAGCACCAAAGAACGAATGTAAGTTGAAAAAATTATTTGTGCTTTTTCCTCTCTAATAGACTATGATAGCTTAATTTACATGTATCTGAAGTCACATCCTTCGATTGTGGTTTCCTTGCTTGCTCCAGTATCTACAAACCAGACAAGAACTGTGTTGTCGTGTCTCCTTGTAGGTGCAGCAAGTGGGCTTATGGAGACATCCGAGAGGTCCACAAAAGGCGCTATCTTTTCCAGGTACGTTTCCTTTGCTTTGCAGCGAGCATGTGGTACATGAAACTTCAGATTCTTAGAAGACTTCGTTGGTTTTCCATACCTTTCGTTTAATGAAGCACATTTATAAGAATTTTCTCTTCATTATTTTTTTTTTCATTTCAGGAGACAGCTCTGGAAGTATTTTCCAGTGACGGGCGGAATCATTTTCTTGTTTTCCCCAAACCTGTGAGAAGTAAAGTTTACGATAAGTAAGTAATGGTATTTTGTTCTTGTTATCCACAAACCCCTGCCAATTTCTACTCGCATAATGCGTGACACTCTTGCTCAATTCAACTACTCTAGCGTGACGCTTGTGCGTGACAACTTCACGCATTAATCTCTGCCAATTGACATTTGCGCTTGACTTGCATGACCGATTGACTGATTATTTTTTATCCAGACTCGTGGCCAAAGCATCAACTCTCCGTGAGAACGCCGAGGAGTCGGTTGTGGGTATGAAAAGAGACACAGATGTAGAGGCCGGGTGAGTTCAAATTTGAAACTCTCCTTAGTTGGTTACTTACGTGCCAGTAAGGACAGTAGAGAGAAACTGACATAGGAATCATGCTGACCTTGTTTTACTTCTCTTTTCCAACAGGCTGGGTCTCATTCACACATTAATGGGTGAAAGATCCGTCACGCAGAGATGGGAGGTAAGCGCCAGCAGTCTTTCCCTGCCCAGTCTGTCGTGCAATTTAGGAGTAACCGCGAAAAAAGCGTTGAGTGATTTTTTTTTTTCGTTGATTACTTCTGAGTCATGCGACGAGCTGAACTATCGCCCCTAGTTTTAAAAAATAATTTTAGGAAGTAAATTAGCCTGTTAGGGAAAGGGTGTAGAAAGAGCGTGGTGGTCCAATGGTCAGCGCGCTGAGTCGATAGGTCTGAGTTCGAGACCCGGCCGTGTCATTGTTGTTTATCTGGATCAAAGCTAAGATTATCCTAGTGCCTCTCTCTCCCCACCCAGGAGCATAAAATTGTACCAGCGAACTGCTAGGGAAACCTGACGAAATACTGGGGGTGAGGGGTGGGGAGTAACTTGTGATAAACCAGCGTCCCATGTAGGGAAGAGGAGAGCAATGCCCTCTGTCACTTTGTTCAGCGGAAAGCGGCATTATGTCTGGCACTATGCGCCATTTGGCTCCCTTCGATAATTGTCATAGCTTCAAGAAGAAATTTCTTTTATCAATTAAAAATTGTTCTTGTTTATGTCTTTGTCATCAGCGTGGTGAAATAACCAACTTCCAGTACCTGATGCACCTCAATACCTTGGCCGGCCGCTCGTATAATGATCTGATGCAATATCCCGTCTTCCCTTGGGTGCTTGCTGATTACGACTCAGAGGTAAAGACAGACACTTTGTAGTTTGAATATCCGCAAGGATCTGGTGTTGAATTTAGGCTGTTGCTCCTTTTCATCTGTCAAACAAGGACGCGTTAGGAACTGGGAGCTACATTTCCACTTCCCATGTTTGAACGTGAGTCAAAAAATTGGGTTAAGTCGAGGCTTATCGATAAATTTCATTCGCTAAATAGATTAAAAAATAACCACACGAAGTTTTCTTTCGTGGTTTAATTTGTTCCATTTGGCTATCCTCTGTGTTTATGAAGCCCCTTCCAGAGACGTTTCCCTGTTGTGCAATGGTATTTGGAAAAAAAATAAACAGCAATTTCCCATCACAAGATTTCTTCCAATGCGTTTCCTCGCTCGCCACACACATATCTTATGTCCCAAGAAACCTAAGAGATGTCTAGCAGTGTGATCTATCCTTGAGTGTGAATTCTACAGTTGTATGTATTTTGCCCTATGTTGTTTTTGCCTGATCACTAAACTTAGATTCGAATTCTTTATTTATTCTGTATTCCTACAGGAGCTGGATCTTAACAACCCCAAGACTTTCCGCGTCTTCTCCAAGCCAATGGGAGCCCAGTCTAAGGATAGACTGATGCAGTTCCAGAAGAAATACAGAGAGTGGGAAGATCCTACGGGTAAATACATCTTGCAACAATTTTGGCTTGTTTTGTGCCTAAGCTTAAATGCCAGTATTCAAAGGGAGGAAACTCGCGAAGTACTATCTCCAGATTCTAAAGATGTAGTCTCATGTTCAAATTAGATCTTAAATTAGATCTCCCCTCTCCTCGTTTCCAGTTTTACGCACGTAGTGAAGGCCACTTTCCTGTTTGGATGTTAGTTGAGAATACACGTCCTATTTTCTCACAATAAAAATAACCGCGAGCGAAGGCGTATTTGTAGTCTCACCTAATCCGCCAAAAGGTATGAACTGACTGAATACACAGGAAACTACTTTCGACCAATAGCTAGTCCTCTTAGTTCGTACAGCTTCTTGTGACGTACAGCCTGCGTGTTGAATATAGCCATGTTGCCTTAACACATTTCAGGCATACCAGCAGTAATTCTGCTGATTTTGTTTTTATAGGTGAGATTCCGCCGTATCATTATGGGACACACTACTCGTCGACTATGATAGTGGCGTCCTACCTTATTAGACTTGAGCCGTTTACGCAGCATTTTCTCAGAGTTCAGGTAATGGTCTTTACTTAGCCTTTGTGCCATACCTGAAATTTGACAGCGAGAACAGCCATCCTTATAAGCTTTCTAGGATAATGGATCATGCGGTTTGTATTTTTAATCCATTTTTAAATACATTTATGTTGATTCTTTTTATGAGTGAGCACGGCACCATTGCAAAAACAACAGCCAATCATTTGAACCTTAAACAACACAGTGGGCCAATCAGATCTTAAGCAAATTCCTTAGCTTTTTCAACCAATCACAAAGTGTTTAAACCAAAATACTTCGAGGAAATGAGCGACACTGAACCAAAAGCCGTTTCTTTTTCACCTGTTTCAAATCACTCGGTGATCTTTTATTTTTCTGTTCAATATTTCTAATCTTTATTTTTCTTCATCTTCTCAGGGAAATTTTGATCTTCCTGACCGTTTGTTTCACTCGATCAGAGACGCATGGATCTCCGCAGCGCAAACCAACATGGCGGACGTCAAGGAGCTGATTCCAGAGTTCTTCTATCTCCCGGAATTCCTCACAAACCACAACAAGTTCGAACTGGGAACCAAGCAAAACGGCGAAGTCCTAGGTGATGTTTGTCTGCCAACATGGGCTAAGGGTGATCCGCGGGAATTTATCCGGCTTCATAGAAAGGTATGATCAAGTGGTAAACTTGTCCTAGTTGGCGAAATGAAACGCCAGGACGCTCTCAGTTTTGTCGTTGCGTTGGCAGTTTAGGCGGGAATTAAACACATGTTTGCCCGTGGTGTTAGGTTTGACGGATAATTTCACACCCGTTACTCTGCAGTGGTACCTTTGGTAGGAATTCAACACGCGTTTTACGGTGATGCAGGTTGTGGCAGAGCTTTCACGCGCGTTTGTCAGTGATAATAGTTTCAGCGGGAATTTAACACGTCTGACCATGTTGTTAGCGTTTACAGTAATTTTCCGTGCGCTACTCAATGGTGGCATTTTTGGCGGGAATTCAACGCGCATTTGTCGCTGCTGCAGGTTTTGGCGGGAGTTGCAAACGCGTTCGTCAATGATAAAAGCATCGGCGGGAATTTAGCGCGCGTTTGTCCGCTGTGAAGATGTAACATGGCTCACATGCTATGTGTTTCGTTTCCAGGCTCTAGAGTGTGATTACGTCAGTGCTCATCTCCACGAGTGGATTGATTTGATCTTTGGATACAAACAGCAGGGTCCTGCCGCTGTTGAAGCCAACAATGTGTTCTACTTCTATTATTACGAGAGCAATGTTGATATCCTTTACACTGACTTCACTTTCGTTTAAGTTTTAATCTCTTAACGTGTTCTTGTGTATCATGAAATTGATGTCTGAATCGTTTTTACTGGTTTTATGCGCTTTTTTGTCCTTAATTACGTTCAGATTTCCATCGCATTGATGATCCAATCAAGAGAAAATCAATCATTAGTATGATCGACAACTTTGGACAAACTCCAAAACAGGTAAAAGTTTGTGACTTCTTTAGGTGAAATATTAAGTGTATCATCAAGTCCTTGGTTAACTGGAACGTTACTTGATCAAGTCATTTTAAGGATCGGATGGCTTGATAGTCTTCAAAAGTTCCACACCACTTTCCCCCCCCCCCCTCCCACCAAGAATTTTCTGTCATGTTCCTCTCACACTTTGCCGGAACCCTTTCTTTTGGTCATTGGTAACAAAGTCTCCGCAATCTTACTGTAAGACCCTGAATTAATTGCATAATTAATACAATACATTTTTGGTCGTTTTGTTCATTAATCGTGCATTCGTTCACTCATTAATCCTATCATTCGTCAATTCAGTCTCTCGTTCGTGCGTTCGTGCGTGCTTACGTACGTTCGTTCGTTCGTTCGTTTTTCACTCATTTAGTCATTCACTCTCATTCATTCATTTATAAATTCATTCATTCATTCTCTCGTTCACTCATTCAGTCAGTCAATCACTCGCTCTTTCATTCGTTTCTTAATTAAATTAATTAATCGATCATTATTATTTTCCCAGCTCTTCAAACGTCCCCACCCTCCCAAGAGAGTGTTTCGTAGCGTGGAGTCCGACTCCCAGACCGGTGCGTTGGTCAATGTCGATCGACTGTTTTTTCACAATCTGCCTAACTTAGTGCCTTCAGCTCAGCCTGTCAAAGGTAAGTCACCATGCGTTCAAATTTTTTTTCAAGAATTTTCTAGGGTAAAGAGACGTTGACGCCTTCATGATAGCAAAAGACGTTAGTATGTTAAGCTGTGTAGCTTTCCCAAGGCCCTACAGATGCACTTGCCGCTCAAACTGGTGAGCTGACGGCGAAAAGCTGTGACTGCTTTCTCTCCAGCGTCATGCTAGAGAGAAAGCAACACTGTTTTCTCTCTAGCGTCAAGCCGTTTTATGTACTACTAGGATTGGCAATGTCAAAAGTGTCGCGAGCAATTTCAGGTTAGCAAACACAGGAAACTGCAGGCAATTTATGTTTTTTTCTGTCAGAGCTGAAAGGTCCTGTGGGACAGATGATTCAAACTGACAACCGGGGGCTTCTGGCCGTGGAGAAAAACAAAGTAAGGAAATTTTTTTTTCATATTGTGGCACATTTGGAAATGGAATTTATTTCTATTCCATTCTAGACAATTACTCATATGTTTTTGTTCTCTTTTCTTTTAGGTCTTGGTTCCGCCTCATAACAACCGCTACATCGCCTGGGGGTTTGGTGACTCGAGCATGCGTACTGGGTTCTATGAAACAGAGAGGGTAATTACCGTACTCGCTCA